AACTCTCTGTCATCTTTGTTCACATAAAGATAAAGATATCCAGGCAACTTAAAAGAAATTAAAAAAATCACAATAACTATCAATGTGTCCATTCTCTAGCCACCATTTTGAAGGATAAACAGTTTAATCTAATCTTAATGCTGAAAGTGTTCAATTGTATGAAATCAAAAGGAGAACAAGTTTATTTCTGCTTTAGGTTTGACATGAAAGTTTAAAGCAATGCAATGATATTTAGTGATTAAATACAAATTTTAAAAAGATAGAAAATAAAAATTGTCTTGTTGGTATCTATAGAATGGGCTACTTCCCCAGCACCTGTAGCTGAGGGCAACCAAATGTCTCTACTGAGATTTTCAGAAGTTATGCTTTTATGAAGGTAGGCTTAAAAAAACCATTGCCATCAAGTTGACCCCAACTCATAGCAACCCGATAGGACAGAGTAGAACTGCCCCATAGAGTTTCCAAGCAGCGCCTGGTGGATTCAAACTGCCAACTTTTTGATTGGCAGCCGTAGCTCTTAACCACTGCGCCACCAGGGTTTCCAAAGGTATGCTTAGAAGTGTGAATATCCCTGTTTATTAAAACTCTCTTCCTACCATCTCTTTGTTCCTCCCAATTCTTATTCACAGAGTACTTTGTGCCAGGCACTGTGTTAGGCACTCGGTGGATAATAAAATGAATCAGCATGACCACACCATGCAAGGAGACTCCAATTCCACAGGACAGCAGAGTAGAACTTTGAGAAAATACCTGGACTGTCCTATCCTTTGGGAAACCCATGGGCTCAGCGTGAGTGGAGAATAACAGAGCTGCAAGGGACTTTGAGAAGTTAGCTAACCCAGCCTTTCTCCTACAGGCAAAAAAGGTCAACATTTAAGTCACAGTCTTCTTAATCAGGAACAAAACAAAAGGGCTTAAGTTTCCCAGTTCTTTGCCTTTACTAGTGAGCATGAATACCCTCTCCCTTTTTTTCCCATTAACAGATGAATGAGCTCACTGATAGCCCTGAATGTCCTCTTTCATCACCTTCACCCAGCTCCCCTCGCCTCATCTGACCGACCAAATGGAGCTTATCCCTCAAGGTCCAGCACGAAAGCCATCCTTCTCCATGGAGCCTTCTCTGTATTTTCCCAGGTGAGTGTATCTCTTATATCTCTCAGTTTTTAAAGTATTGTAGCTACACTTCTTTTCTTATGCTTATTATTTTCCACTTATTATAAATAATATAATTTCTTATTTCTTCTGTTCTTCGGCTATTAAAGTCATGTTCTTTGCTATATATTACTCTTTTCTCTGTATCAACCTCTAGTCTACCAGACAGTGGCTTGCTTATAGTTTAGTATTGAGTAAATATTTGTAGAATGTATACATCAATGAAAGAGTCCAGAAGAAAATCTCAAAGGTTCAAAAAGGTTACAAAAAAAAAAAAAAAAAAGACTTGTTTAAGGAAATACAACTGGGAGGCAGCAGAAATTCACTTTCCACTATATTCTGCTAAAGAAAAACACGTTTTCCAAATGCCTAATATTAATAAGGCAGCTGAAATTTAAATATTGTATACCCTAAAATGAGAGACTCTTATTGTTGATCAGTCCCTTATGGGTTATTAAATTCAATCACCCACGTAGTACTTCTGCAGTATTATGCACAGAATTTTCTTGAGTGCCACCAGTGACAAGAAAATCAATACCTGTCATGGCCATGCTTCAGCGCTGAAGCCTTTTAATTGCTAGATCATTCATTGTTAGTTTGAGACGGCATTTGCCTCCTTCTAACTTTCACCTATTATTTTCCAATGGCTAAGGCATGATAAGGCACGATCAGTCCCTGGAGAAGGACATCATGCTTGGCAAAATGCAGGGTCAGCAAAAAAGAGGAAGACCCTCAACAAGATGGATTGACACAGTGGCTGCAACAAGGGGCTCAAGCATAACAATGACTGTGAGGATGGTGTAGGACTGGTCAGTGTTTCGTTCTGTTGTACTATGAGTCGGAACCAACTCGATGGTACCTAACAGCAACAACAAGGCGTGATAACCTAAGTATGTATGTTATTGGCTCAGGGCTTATCTGTGGACACCAGATGGATGTCACAGCTGTAGTGGGATCACGATGAAGTAAACGGCTGGGGATAAGGACTTGACATTTTCTAAAACAGCAGAAGAAAGTAGTAAATAAGAACAGACAGGAAGGAAGCATATAAAGAAGAAAGTTTCTAGTAAAATAACATTTTGATTTACTAACTTAAGAGAGTCTAATGGGAAAGCACAGTCATGTCAGACAGCTCTGATGAGTCCTGATTCCACCGCTCTACTTCATGAGATTTGCGGCATGATATTAACCTCTCGGTTCCCTCGTTTTCTAAATGGTGACAGTATCTACCTGTTACATTGTGGTGAGCATTAAATGAAGTCTATAAAGCACTTAGCATAGTCCCTGGCATCGAATAAGTTTCAATAAGTGGTGACTCAAAGGCTTCATTCTTTTCTTTTTTAAAAATTATCTCTTTTTGATAAAATACTGACTAAATTAAAAGTCCACATGAAATATAGGAAATTATGATAAGGCAAGTACTGCCCTGTGTTATCTTATAAACACAGGAACAACGAATGTCTTTCTTTCCTACACACACAAAAGGAGACCAGAACTTTTACAATGTATAAAATCAATGGTGTAAATTCAAATGACAATACACTGCCCAGTCCTGCGTCATCCTCACCATCGTTGCCCTGTTTGAGTCCATCGTTACAGCCACTGATCAGACAATGTTCCACTGTTCTTCATAAGGTTTTCACTGGCAGTTCTTTCAGAAGTAGACTGCCAGGTCCTTCTTTCTAGTCTGTCTTAGTCTGGAAGCTCTGCTGAAATCTGTCCACCACGGGTGACCCTGCTGGTATTTGAAACAGCAGTGGCAAAGCTTCCAACATCACCGCAACATGTAAGCCCCCACAGTATGACAAACGGACTACAAGAGGTAGTTGATTGGGCATAGACTTAGGCAATTAACTTTTTCTGTGTTTTATCTTTGTGAAAGAGGTCATAAATCCGTATTACAATTAAAATGATTGTGCCAGGCGGAAATGTATACTGACAAGTAGAAAAATGTCACAGAAAATGAGTAATTATTAAACATCAGAATTATGAACAATCACCCCATTCAGTGTGCCCGAAACTGATGATAAACGCAAACGAACGTTAGGTGAGCAATTTGAATACTGTTCCTCTGACATTTATCAGCCCTGTGCAGAATGTAGACAGAGCCGAGCTGAGAGAGCAGGTTCAAATGCTTTACCATGGCAACACTTTGTCCAAAACACTAAATGGCTAATAATAACTCATGTAAACAAATCTGTGGAATTTGATGATTCAGAGAGAAATGGGTAAGAATAGAATCAGTCATTTCAAGGCGTGATTCCCCTTTCTTCACAGGTTAACAGCATAAGTCAGAACAGCTAAAAATGTTAACACAAAAATTATTTTCTCTGATTTCTTGGATTCCAAGGCCATTGTGCTCGGTAAGTTACCGTCAATATAATTTCATCATGGTACTTCCATTTCTGGGGTTATTGACACACTCCATTACAGCAGTCATCAAGCAATGCAATGTCAGGGCCAAATTCCCAAGGACATCAGCTATCCTTCCAAAGTTCAGAATTTATGGTCATCTAATAAATGTATTTTGGACATGTTATCAGGAGGGATCAGTCCCTGGAGAAGGACATCATGCTTGGTAAAGTAGAGGGTCAGCAAAAAAGAAGAAGTCCCTCAACGAGATGGATTGATACCATGGCTGCAACAATGGGCTCAAACATAACAACGATCATGAGGGTGGTGCAGGATCGGGCAGTGTTTCTTTCTGTTGTATGAAGGGTCGCTATGAATCAACCGACTTGCCAGCACCTAACAGCAACAATAAATGTATAACGGAAATCATGGAAAAAGAAAACTAAATACTTTGAGGAGAATATGATTTGCCAAGTCAAGACATTCTGAAATACCTTCGTAGAATTCTATTTTGGTAAAGACAAGTCCTAGTCCTAAATATTTTGCAATTATATTCTTGGTATTCTCAGCCTATTAATAAAGAAAATTTATTTTAGAAAATTTTATTTTAGAAATAAAAATAAATAAATTTCTATTTATTTATAAATCATGTACAGCAATTTCCGAAGAATGCTGTTTCTGAGAAATCCTGAGGAAAAGTTTCTTCAGGTAAATGCGTGGGAACTGGAGAATAAGAGATGCTGTCCCTTTCCACACGGAGACTCAGAGACCTCTCTGAACCATAAAGTGTTTACAGCAGATCTGCTTTGCTGACACTTGGCCAAGGCAATCCTGCACATTTCCATTTAATTCAATGATCAGAACACTGGTAACCCAGTATCATATACCTTAGTGGTTGAATCTTTTATTTATCATCAACTTTTCTTTGGCAAGGAGCCCTGGTGGCACAGTGGTTAAGCGTTTGCCTGCTAACCAAAAGGTCAGTGGTGGGAACCCACCAGCTCCTCCGAGGGAAAAGCATGCGGCAGTCTGCTTCCATTAAGATTACAGCCTTGGAGACCCTATGGGGCAGTTGTACTCTGTCCTATAGGGTCGCTCTGAGTTGGAATTCAACTTAACGACAATGGAGGTTTTTCTTTGGCATAAGAAATTTTAGAAAACAATCAAAATGCTCCACATTAAATCATTGCCAGAATTCAAGAGAACTGACAAGTGGAATATGAGATAAACTACATTACCAAGAAAACTGTTAGGACAATTGATCTCATATTCAACTTATCTAAAAATAAATAAATAAAAGACCCCTTTCAATATTTTAGTGATTGCCTTTCTATTTATTTATTTTCTTAGAATTGAGGAGGATGTCAGAAAGCACATTTATATTTATTTACCCAAATATCTAAAGAATTTTTCCTCATTAATATTCACATTCACTTGTTTTTTTAATTGAAAAATTACGTGTCTAAAGAAAAACAGGAAAAAGAAAGTGTTCTTACTTTCTTCTGAGAGATCATTTTCTTCTGCTTCTCTTTCCATCTCTTTACACCAGCCTTCCATTCTCTTTGTCTCTGTGTGCAGCAGTTTCAAAAACCATGACCCATCTCTGCGACATGGAGACATTCTCCCAGTTTCTACTGTCTCAATGGATGGCTCCAACCACGGGTCGGGAGGGGGAAGGTTTGAAGTATCAACTTGGGTCCTATAATCTTCTCTGTAACTGAAGAGTCCCTGTGTCCGTACAGTTCTTACCGCTCCATACTGAGTAGGAGTGCTAGGTTCTGAGTGTCGCTGGAAGGATGAACCAAACTGGAGACCTTTGTCCTCCATGGTGATGTGTCCCGGGAAGCCCTCCAGTTCCAAGTCTGCTTGGACGGCGGCAGTTACACTATTGGAACGTTTAAAACGTCCGTGTCTGGAAAAGGAGGAAAAGAAGACAAAATGGTAGACTTCCTGAGGTGACGTTAAATGTGCCACAAAATCCTAAATGTGCCTTTTAAGGAGCAGGCCTGAACCACAACAGTCTAACAACTGAATAAAAAAAAATTGTTTTTATCTACATAATATTTTGGTATTTCATCCGTGAAAGTATGTTTGGTGTTGCAAATAATTGAGCTTTAACATCTACCTAGGTCTCAATGTCTTATGACGGCCACTTAAGATTTAAGTTTACTGAATAACACCCCTGATGATACAATGAGTTAATGTAGTCCATTAAACCACTCTCTTCAAATGGTTATGTTCCTTTCAGAAATGTGCTGCAAGTTTATTCAACTTGCTTTATGTTGCATGTATGTGAAATGATGCCTTCTGTTGCTCCTTTTATGTAAATAATATCCGTGTCATAATGGGTTTTAGTGACTACCCATATCACATTCCAGGCCATAAGCTTCCTCTCCTAGCTTAATAACTTAATATCATCCCCATTAACTTTTATGCAAAATGTTGTTGTTGTTAGGTGCCATCAAGTGGTTCCAACTCATAGCGACCCTATGTACAGCAGAGCGAAACACTGCCTGGTCCTGCACCATCCTCACGATTGTTGCTATGCTGGAGCCCGTTATTGGCAGCCGCTGTGTCAGTCCACCTCGCTGAAGGTCAAAATAATGAACCCAAAGTCTGTCTTCAGCTGGTGCTTTAAAAAAACATTCTCATTGTATGTATCTATTTCCACACAGCCGATGACTGAAATGATTGGCAGGAAATCAGCCTATAATTGGAGACCAGATATTTCCGGGTGAGAACTCTGAGTGGATATGACCCGAGAGGGCAGAGTGTGTGTGTGTGTGTCGGGGGGGGGGGGTCTGTACATCCCAAGTTTACTGTAGATACAAGTTTAGGCTCCTCACCAACTGAATCCACAGATGGCAAACAGCTGTGTTTACAGCTGGTTAACGAATTTGCCACTTATTTCCTTTGCTAGAGGCAAAAGGGATGACAATGAACCGCTGATTAGGATGGAGGGCAGCAAGCCAGTTTCCCAGGTGCAAAAGATGTCCAGTTTCTAAGAAGCCTACTTGGAAAATTTGCAGAAGCCATTAATTTGTGGTCCAAATTTCTTTGCAATCAAAATCTTTATAGGTTGGGTTCTAAAACCTTCCACTATGAGGCATACTACTCAGCACTTTACCTGGGAGATGCTAATTGAAGTTCAAGATACAATGCTGTCATTACCACTTGTTATTATGAAATTTACAATATACTGTATATTATTAAAAATACAAAACGATTATCCTGCCCTTGTTGCAAAAATAACACTACTGTAATGAACATCTTTTATATTTTTTATTTTAGCTAGTTCTTTTATAAGCGAAACAATTCCCTGGTGTAACTAAGGCCTTGAACTTCTTTCATTCTCTCTCTTTCTGTCTTTTCACTTTTAACATTATCAGGTGGGAAAACATACATTACCCTCAGCCCATTCTTTTCGTTTGGATAAAAAAGTCTGACTTTCAGAGCTGTGAGCCACTCTGCTTTCAGAGGTGTAAATTACTTTAGAAAGAATTAGTGCCTTGCCTCTTGGGGAAAAAAAAGACCTTGGTGAATGTTAGTTCATAGTTGAACGATATGAATTGAAAAGTATAAATATTTGACCCTGTTTCCACAGATGGCACGAATTACTGTCGGTCAGTATGATCTAGAGGCTCACGACCAGCTTGTGAACAAACAGCCCCCACTTGGGAAACATCATATATTCTGAAGGGGGGTTGAGTTACCGCTTTTCATCTTCTACTTGCACGCCAACAGAGTGATATTCCCGTAGGCCTCGGCTCTCCGTGTCAGAATCTGTAGCTGTTTCCACCTAATTCAACACAAAACATCTTATTTTAGAACTGAAATGTGGGGCCTGGGCAAGGGACTATTTTTTTGTTGTTCATTTGCTGTAATTAATTATGCATTTGTTTAATTAATGCAGAGATGCACTTGACCCAGTAAAATCCCAAAGAAAGGGAAATGCAATTCATATTTGTGTATTTATGTCGCTACTGGGCTTCATCGAATTTTACATAACTACTTGAACTCAACAGGGCACTTCTGCCTTTTAAATGTATGCAAATAAAATGGCTCAGTCCAGCTCTGGCAAACAGCGGTTTTTGTTGGGCTGCATTTTTATAGGACTTAAAAGCTCTTATCACATCCTATGGTGAAGAAAGTAAGAACAGCATGAATCAAACATGGCTAACAAAAACAAATAAGCAATTTAATAGAATTATACTGATGGCTGCATCCACATACAAAAGACAGAAAGGAATTTAAGCATTTTGTCGAAACATGAAGGCAATCTCTCCATCTACTGCTAGCACTCACATTTGCTGATACATTGCTAATACAGGGCAGCACTGTGTCAGCAGGATGATGTCACATCAGAGCAGAAATTGTATTCCACAGAGGATCTTTAGTGTAGCTTATTTGCCAGAAAGTTCCCCCACAGCCATGAAGAATTTTAATGATCATCGGCAGTGTAAACTTATCACACGAGGGAGTTCTAGTACAGTAAGTTTTCTTTAAAAAAAGTCTCAGTATAAAAAGTCTGTGAAACCAAAGGTTAGTTAAATCATAAATAGTCCATGGTACTCAACTGTCTTTCTTTTTTCGCAAAAATATTACCTATCATATCGAAAGAATTTTGGACCTCTATCCATAATGTAGGAGCCGTGGTGGCACAGCAGTTAAAGCGCTTTGGATGCTAACTGAAAGGTCGGTGGTTCAAACCCACCAGCCGCTCCATGGGAGAAAGATGTGGCAGTCTGCTTGTTCCTTAATGATTTACAGCCTCGGACACCCTGTGGGGCAGTTCTACTCTGTCCTATAAGGTCGCTAGGAGTCGGAATCGACTCAACAGCAGTGGGTTCGGTTTTGGTTTATCCAAAATGTCACAACCTAGTTGTAAAACACATTTTTTTCTTAAAAATATTAGCGATCACTAGAAGCGTAAGGAACAAACCATTAAACAAGTAATTATGACACCAAACTCTGTGAGTTACGAGAGAAAAGCTGTACTTTAAAAATTTAATTATAATTTGTAATTGACCGAAGGCGAAGTCTATGAAAATGAGGGATACACTGAAGTTGTGACTAACACAAGTAATGATAAAAATAATAATAGTAACTGTCACTAATACTTATTTCATGCTTACCATGGACCAGGCACTGTGCTAAGAACACGATACTAATTTTCTCATGTAATCCTCGCAACAAGCCTGTTGTTAATAGGCACACATTACAGTTGGGGAACCAGGAAAGGTAAGTAACTTGCCCAAGGGCACACAGCTTGTTCTTGGCAGAGATAGGATTCAAACCTAGATCTTCCGATAACAGAGCCTGCACTCTTCGTTAATCTTGTACGGCCAGGATAAAGGTGGTCAATTGAAGACCCTGGAGCTCCTGGTTAGTTACTAGCTGTGGAAAATGATGAGATACATCAATTTTTTTTATTGGTATAATTCTGAAGACGTGCATAGAAGTTGTACGTAATTTGCATTGCATGTTTTGATAGACGGAGCAAGAAATAGATTGACTACAGGAGGAAGAGAATTTTTGACTGAAAATCCTAACTCTGCTGTTAATCACTATTCCTCTTTCTAGTTTTAAATGGGTGATGGTTTTATTAAATTTTCCCTTGCTGGACATGGAGATTATTATTATAATTATTTACACAGAATGAGCATAATAAAAAAAGACATGGATTCACAAGCACCATGTATACATATACATGACTAAAAACAAACACAACAAAAACATGACTTTTTTTTCCTTTCTTTAGTCTCCAAATTTTATTGCAAAAAATTGTTATTTTTATAGTGAATTAGAAAAATACAGCTTTTGCGGTCAGTCAGATCTTGCCACTTACTGACTGTGTAACTCTTAGGTAGGTTTCTTTCTTTTTTGTTGGGTCTTAGCTTGCTTACCTCAAAGATGAAGGTGACATCAAACATCTTATTTGATTCATGTAAAACTCTCATTACAAAGCCCATTCATGTAAGTTTGTCTACCAAAAACACCAACCCATTGCTGTCGATTCGATTTCAACTCATAGAGACCCTAAAGGACAGGGTAGAACTGTCCCATAGGGTTTCCAAAGAGCGGCTGGTGGATTCTAACTGCTGACCTTTTGGTTAGCAGTCAAGCTCTTAACCACTGCGCCACCAGGGTGCCAAGTCTGTCTACAGCAAATATTAATTCTGTGTGTTCTCTCACCACAAATTTTCAGATTGTCAAGTGAATAACTATATATATACATACATATATATATGATTTATGTATATACCAAACCCTTTGCCTTCAAGTCAGTTCCGACTCATAGTGACCCTATAGGACAGAATAGAACTGCCCCAAAGGGTTTCCAAGGAGCGGCTGGTGGATTTGAACTGTCAACCTTTTGGGTAGCAGCCGAGCTCTTAACCACTGTTCCACCTGGACTCCATATATATATATGTATATATGTATAAATTAAAACAGTGTATATTTGATATATTTTATAGATTTTACAGTGGTTGACAAATGAAACCTTTTTAAGTTCCCTAGTGTTAGGAACCCTGGTTGCACAGTGGTTAAGGTTCTCGACTGCTAACTGAAAGGCTGGCAGTTTGAAACTACCAGCAGCTCTGCAGGAGAAAGATGTGGCAGTCTGCTCCCGTAGAGACTTACAGCCTTGGAAACCCTATGGGGTCGCTATAAATAGGAATCTACTCGACGGCAGTGGCAATGTTGGAAGGTGACGGTCTGATGGGGGATATAATAAAATCATATATGGCCAGAATGAGTTGAATCAATTGCAGAAACACTGGGAGTAGAGAGAGAAAAAAAGCAAGTTTAGGACAAAAAAAAAGGAACCACTATTTTGCACAGTGGAAAGGAAACTCTAAGAATTCTTTTCCCAAGAGGAAATTATGGACTTCAAATTAAAAACAAAACAAAACAAAACAAAAAACCTTTGAAAAATATATGTATGTATTTATTTTAAAAGATCTAATATGTACTAGTTAGCGATTCTAAGCATTGAGGAGAAAAAAAGATGAACCAGCAAAATCACTGTATTTTCAAGGGACCCACCAGCCACTCCACGGGAGAAAGCTGTGGCACTCTGCTTCCATAATGATCGACAGCCTTGGAAATCCTATGGGATCAGTTCTACTCTGTCCTGTAGGGTCACCACGAGTCAGAATTGACTCAACAGCAATGGGTTTTTATATTTTAGAAGTAAAGACTGTACTTGAGGAGCTCATTGATGAATGAGGAAGACAGTCACACAGACAAATAATTACTGCACTGATGGTTATGTGCCTTTGTGGCAAAGTGTTAAGGTACCATGGGAATGGGGAAGAATCACTTAGCAGTTCCGGGGGCAATGTCACCAGTGATTTACGCTGAGCCATATGCCCTAATGAGAAGTGGGCTAAGGGACATTCTTAAACATGGTCTGTTTAAGAAGCAAGGAGTTTGGTATGGCTGGTCTGTGTGTGTGTGTGTGTGTGTGTGTGTGTGAGTGTGTGTGAGTGTGTGTGTGTGGGGGGTGCGTTACTGATGGAAGACGAGAAGGAAGAGATAGGCAGGCCCTCGTATGCTCTGGTTCTCTATCTGGTGGGTGGGCCTCGGTTTTCAGAGACAGATAAACCCAGTTCAGCCTCTGACTAAGCCCCAGCCTTTGCACTGACCCTAAAGAATGAATCTGGTGCTGTCCTGGAAGAAGTAGAGCCAGAATGCTCCTTAGAAGCAAGGATGGCAAGACTTCATCTCACATACTTTGGACACATTATCAGGAGGGACCAGTCCCAGGAGAAAGACATCATGCTTGGTAAATGAGAGGGTCTTTGAAAAAGAGGACGACCCTCCACGAGTTGGAGTGACACAGTGCTGCGACAAGGGGTGGGAGCTGTTGCCCAGTAATATTCTGCTACAGCTCATTTTATGCTTTGCATTCAAAACCTTACACATTGCAAGGTAGGCACGTTGCTTTTGATACAAAACCATCGTATTTCCCTCGGGGACCTATTATAAGTCTAAGAGTTAAGTATGATTTGTAAATCCTGCTGCTATCAAATGCTTATAAAGCTGTAGCATAAGCCGCTATGAAGAGCGGAGGGGTGGAAGGATCAGGTTAAAACATGAAATGGATCCAGGCTAGTGAGACAGACTTAATTCACGGGTTAGTGGTAAACTAACACTTCTACGTTGGTGCGGGCGTGTGAAACGAACGACAGCATGGGCTTCCATACGTTGTGCCCCTTTATCCCACAATGGTCTAGCGATGTAACAGAGTGGGAATCCTCTTCATTCTAGAGACGAGGCTATTGAGGGAGAAGGAATCGAAGGATTCCTGCCTGTGAAACCAGGACTTCCTTCTACTAAACTGCAGTAGCTGGGAGCAGTAAACGTTTTCAATAGGGTTGTACAAACGCACACACACACAAAACTAAAAACTCTGCAATAACAGACAAACAACAGATAAAAACAAACAAACAAACACAAAAGAAACAGTTAAATGTTACCATCACAATGAAGAAACGTGAGGTAGGCCCTATTATTGATTCCAGGCCCAGTGACCTATTTAAGGACTCCCAGAATGACGTCAGCAAGTTCTTCCGGGCTCCTTATCCCAGGACTGGAGCTCCTGGGTAGTGCAAATGGTTAATGCACTTGGCTGCTAACTGAAAGGCTGGAGGTTTGAGTCCACCCAGAGGCACTTGGGAAGAAAGGCCTGGTGGTCTGCTTCTGAAAAAATCAGCCACTGGAGCCCTATGGAGCACAGTTCCACTCAGACTTACGTGGGGTTGCCAAGAGTCGAAATCAACTCAACGGCAGCTGGATTGGCTATCCTGGGACTGGGCTGTGTGCTCCCAGGGTTCTGTGTGTCTTTTCGCTGGAGGGCCCCCCGCCTGCAAGTCTGGAGACTGATGGGACCTGTCCTCATGTCCTGCTGTACAGGGCTAGTCTCAGAAGCTGGAGCTTTCAGCGATTTGAGGAACACAGGGAACGTCTAGCTTGCTTCTGGTTTAAACGGCACAGGGAGTGACGACTGGATCCAGCAGGAAGTGCGCTGAGATTGGATTCAGTTGCTGGGGTATCACAGTAGACAGAGCCCAGTTTCATAGATGAAATCCTGAAGAAATTGGTTGTATAATGTCCTAAGATGTACTGGACACTTAGGGAGTCATAGCCTCACAAATCAGTGACTCATTTCGGGTACAAGCGCCACAGAAGTTTCATTCAGCAGCATAAATTCTATTCAGTAGTAAGAACAATATTGGTAAAATTCAAATTGTTCTATTGTCTGTCCTCAGACAAAACTCCCTCTGAGCTGCCTTAGTTACCTATGATTTTGGGAAATTAGTGAGCGGTCAGGTGAAAATAAATCCCATTAAATGCTGGTTGGATATCTAAAATGCTAGCCATCTTCTCCTTCGAAAAGCTGTAGGACAGAGTAGACATATCTAGTGTTCCAAAATGGGGAGAGATGAGTTTTCATCCTGAGAGGTTCATGGAATGAGAATCAGGCCCAGCGCACTGAGGGTGCTGAATCATTCTGCCATTTTATTTCTCTTCTTTGGGAAGCAGAACAGAGTTGGGGCTTTGGGATTAGACCTACCTGGATTTCAATTTTGGTTTGGCCACCTAATGGCTATGTACCCTTAGACAAGTAACTTACCCTCCCTGGGCCTCAGCTTCCCCATCTGTGAATTAGGCATAGTAACAGCTAGCACAAAGGGTTATTACGAGCATTAAGCAAGTGGGTAGTGGAGAGTCAGGGGCCCAACAAAATGCCCATAGCTTAAAAAAAAAAATTATTATTATTTTACTTTGTGCCTTGCCAACACTGGATTTGTCTTCAGCCATTCCTCCAACGCCTTTTAGGTGTCTATGGACAGTCTTTGCTCACCTGCTTAAATATCCGTTTCACTCTGCTTCCTTGTTCTTTACTCTTTGGGTTGGCTTCCTAAACACATCTATCTTTAATTTCCTTGGCTATTTTCTTTATCTTGCCACTTGAGTTTCTTTGATTATGTTTTCCTCTGGCTTTTCAATTAACTTCATTTTGACAATTACTAGGTTAAAATCTCGCATAATATTGTGCATTTTTTACTTCCATAAAACAGTTGAAGTAGATCATATTTGTATACTTGTATTCACATTTATCTTTAGCCAACCACTCATCCATTCACTCATTCATTCTTTCATTCACTCACTTGTCCAACATTTATCGAGCACTCTCTATGTGTCAGGTGCTGTGCTAGGTGCTGGGGATTTCAAGATGCATAAGGTATTTCCCGGTCTTCACAAAACACATAGTTTGGGAAGATGGTGTCAAGAAAGCCTTCTAGGAGGGGTTAATGCATGATCTGAGCTTCAGAAGATGAAATGGGGGATGGATATGGAGAGGAAATTATATTCTGGGCAGAAGGGACATGAGCCAAGACACAGAGCTAGAAACAGACGGGGTAAGGGAGAAATATAAGCTGTTAGTGGTTGCTGGAGTGTGAAATAGAGGCGGGAAGTGGTGTCACCATTTACCAGCATGATAATATAATTTAATGGGTTTCTGAAATTATGTTCCCACTGCTTTCAGAAAAAGTCAGTAATTTCATGTGTTCAGATGTCTACACTCTTATTTGCTTGTTTGTTGCTGAGTTGGGCAGTCTAGAGAGAGGATGCATGTGGAAGATGGCAGGTGAGAAAACCAGACAGTGGCATGATCGCCTTGGGGATCTGAAATACACCTGGTGAATTTTGAGGATTTCCCAAGTCTGTGATCACAAAGATGACTTTGGAGCCAGAGGGATCAGCCTAGAAGCCCTGGTTTTCCCACTTACTTTCTCTATACCCTCAGCAAGACCCCTGGTGGCAGGCAAGCTACTTAACCTTTTGGAGCCCCATTTTTCTCATCATTTAAGTGGGACAAATTATACACCTTTGTCTTGGAAGAAGCACAGCCAGAATACTCCTTAGAAGCAAGGATGGCGAGACTAAGTCTCATCTACTTTGGACGTGTTATCAGGAGGGAACAATCCCTAGAGAAGGACATCATGCTTGGTAAAGTAGAGGGTCAGTGAAAAAGAGGAAGACCCTCAATGAGATGGATTGACACAGTGGCTGCAACAATGGGCTTAAACATAGCAAAAATTGTGAGGATGGTGTGGGACTGGGCAATGTTTCATTCTGTTGAACATAGGGTCACTATGAGTCGGAACCGACTCGGGGGCACCTAACAACAACAACAGCGATCATACATCATTGGGTACAATGCAATAATATGAAAGCACCTAGCATAGTGCCTGGCATATAGAATCAGGACAGAGAGAAGTGACAAGAGCAGTTGTATGAATAATCCGAAAAAGGTAGATAAAATAAAATTCATGCGTATTTGGCTTTGGAGTATATTTTGGTACTTACATCTGACCTTGGGTATGGCTGATGCTCTGGGAATTCAGAATCCTAAACAAAACAATGAAGCCACACTGTGGAGACCTGGTTCAGAGGACCTATAAAAGCGGGCAGTCTCCCCACCCTGCTCCTCCGGACAGTACTTCACTCCATATCCCCATTACATCAGGACATAGCGTCACCTCTCACAAGAAAGGCGAGCACCAGGCCTGGCTCTGTTAGTTAGAGTTCCACCTGATCTCTCCCTGAGTGAGGCGCAGTGGTCATTAAGCATTCTGATTTCAAAAACTTCTGGCTGGACAGAGGCTGAACGGAGGAGTAAAAGGAAGCAAGAGGTGAACCATATCAGCAAAGGACTTTAGTAACAACCCTGGTTAATTCTGTCCATAGAAACTCAAAGGGAAGATCCACCTTAGGTGAATTAAAAGATTTGGTGGGTGTAAGCAAAACTGGCAATGCCGCTTGACTGGACATAACTGAACATGGGTGAAGTGACCTGAAGTACTGCCTCTGTTTCTTAGCACAATACCTTACACTTTGCACTTGCTTCATGAAAGAAAGATAGAGCCCTGGGGGTGCAGTGGTTAAGAGCTCAGCTGCTAACCAAAGGTTGGTAGTTCGAGTCCACCAGCTGCTAACGGGTTTGGTTTGGGTTTTTATGAAAAGATAGTCCAAGTTATCTATTCAAAGGCAGAGAGAAGGTACCACCAAATCCATATCTTGACTCAATGTTTTGGTGATTGTGGGTCCACACTGTCTGAAAACAGAGGAGGCAGCGTTTGTGGCCTCAAGGGACTATCTACAGAACACCCTGCCAGCTGGACAAAGGCCCCTTTTAGTGGCCCACGCCTGAAGTAACTGTGGGCGTGATCTCAGCTTTGTACAGAGATTTTTCTTTTCCTTCTCCCATCTTATTCCCAGGGCCTTCTTCCCCGCTCCACTGTTTGGTGGTGAGACTGGAAAGCTCTTGAAAAATCGGACTTCAACAAAAAAAACCACCATTCTTAAGCATCAGAATAAACCTTATCTCCATGCTCCCCAAATAGCCATTTGCCCCTAGGAAATGCAGAAGTGGGGATATTCCCCCAGATCGGGGGTGGGGGAAGGCACAGGGGCACATAGATCTCCTTTAGCTCTGCAAGGGACTGGATTTATGCTGGCATTGATTCACCCATCTATTTCACTTGCAGCTTTGCAACATGGACTGACGACCTTTCTCGCATGTTCTCACTGCCTGTCGAAGACCACAATGAATGCTAAGGAGCTAGTGAAGCTGACTGTCCAGTCTATACTCTTCACAGAACCGGGTGGAGCAGCTCACCACAGACGCATGGTAATGATAGGTACCTGGATCCCCACAGAGGACCGGTGGCTCTTGAGGAACTCTTCGGCTTTGGATACTAGAATTGCCTTGTCGCTGGTCCGTGCTGGGCCGCCCTGGCTCTCCGAGGCATGGCGCTGAGCAGCGGCCGTTTCTAGAGCAAGATTCATGGCCTTGTTGCTGTCCAAACTGTCGCTGGAGTTGTAGAGGCCTCGGCCATCCTGCGGCCACGGGGAAATCCTCTGAGTCCGGCTGTCGTGATAGGCGTCCTGGGTGGATTCGGTGCTGCTCTGGGCTGTCACCGAAATCAGCGGCTTAGAGGTGGTCCGCGGAGGTACCGGTGGGGGTGTTTTTTTGTAGTTTGTGTACGATACAGCTGTAAGAAAAAAATAAAAGCTCCGAGTCAGTAAGCATATTGTACCCCCGTCGGAATCTGGTCTGCAACTCAAACATGTTCATCACCTGTGATCATATTTCTGGACACCTAGCCTCAGAAAACAATGCAAAACGTGGGGGAAATGTGTTATGCATGGAGATATTTTATATGGAGGTATGTGTACGAGCCAAACATTATAAAAACACCTAAAATTACAGCCCAGAGAAGTGATTAAGTAACTTGTGATTCAGCAGGACAGAACACAGCTATACTATCATTTCTGTGAAACCCACAGTATCATAGGCAATGCTCATTTGACAATGCTAAATTAAAAACAGGCAGGATACTAAATTATAAATAGACTAAGACAGAACACGTTTGTAAAGAAAGCCTGTCCATACAAAAAAGATTAGAAGTACATAAAAAGGTTAGTGGTGGTTATCTTTGAGTGGCAGTATGGGAGATTATTTTCTCCTCTACTTGCCCGTACTTTCTAACAATGTTTATAATCAGTATTATTTTTATAATGGAAAAAATATACAATATTAGAAAATTATTTGCTTCCCATAGTACAGACTACTAGGAATAAGTTGTAGGAAGTCAACTGAAAAAAGCTATTGGGATTAGAAATCCATCCCGGACCCAGACCATCTTCAGCCTGTGGTCCATTACCAGCCATTTCACTCTCCTGCCGAGCTCGTGGAGCCCTGATGGCACAGTGGCCAGCTGCTCAGCTGCTACCCAAAAGGTCAGCAGTTAAAACCCACCAGCCACTCAGGGAGAGAAAGATGTGCCAGTCTGCTTCCATAAAGATTTACAGCCTTCGAAACCCTATGGGGCAGTTTGACTCTGTCCTATAGGGACACTATGAGTTGGAACTGACTTGACGGTAATGGGTTTGTTTTGGTTTGGGCAAGCCTGCATGGCATATGTGAGTTTTACACATGGGCTTTACAGTAAATCAACCAAACAAAAATAAATACATTTGGAGATGAAAATTATATTAAATATCTTTTAGAAGCTACCAAAAAGACATTAGGCATATTTGCCAGGACTCAAGGTATTCCTTATTGTTACAGCAAAGATGAACTATTCTCAATACTCTCTTCTGATATGGTCTTCTATGACAATTGATTATTTTTATCTTGAAAGAACTAATAAAGTGCTTGTTTAAACTGCATCCAGACCGCCTTCATCACGATGCAAGGCCAACACATCCTCCTACACAGTCTGTAGAAGAGGAAGGGCTGTTTGTTATATTTAGGGACAAGACAGGCACACAAACACCTTCTGGGGAGTCTTTAGCATCGTCTGGGAAGACAGAGTCAACAAAAATGTTCTTTAAGAACTTTCAGAAACTGTGTCCTGAGAAATACCATGCTGCTTTTGCATCTGGAAACATCATTTTTCAGGGTTTTATTTGTGTCGATTTCCTACCCCTCAAGGAGCCCTGGTGGCACAGAGGTTAAAGTGCTCCACTGCTAACTGAAAGGTCGGTGTGTTCAAACCCACCAGTGGCTCCGTGGGAGAAAGATGTGGCAGTCTGCTTCCATAGAGATTGACAGCCTTGGAAACCCTGTGAGGCAGTTCTACTCTGTCCTATAGGGTCACTATGAGTTGGAATCAACTCGACAGCAGTGGGTTTTGGTTCTCCTACCCCTCACCCTCTTCTCCACTTATTTTAAAATCTGTATGAATGGATTTTTCTACATTTTCAAATGTTATCCCAAATAAACAAAGACAAATAACAAAGCAAACTGAGTTCACCACGTCAGTATGTTCTGAGTTTTAATGCACATGACTTGCATACAAAAACTTATAAATGTATGTATTTTTAAAAGGATGCATTGGAAAGAAAATCCAAGGGGTAGAAAACTGACAGAGGAAGATCAGATGGGTTTTACCAATGTGGGTGGTAGCATAAAATAAAAAATGAAATGATTTTGAAAGTTTGTCTACATAAGAGAAACATCCAAAGTCATCTTTTTTTTCTGAAGGACTTTTTTTTTTACTTAATGTCAATCAATCTCTAAACAAAAATTATTGAAAACTTACTATATGCGAAACACTAGTCTAGGCGATTTAAAGATATGTAGGATATGGTTCTGAAACGAAAAACATTTATATACAATTTGAGAGCCTGGGTGGTACAAGTGGTTTGCAATCAGCTGCTAACCTAAAATGGCTGGTGGTTCGAACCCACCCAGCAGCTCCACGAAAGAAAGACTTGGTGAACTGCTTCCTAAAGATTACAGCCAAGAAAACCCTAGGGAGCAGTTCTACTCTGTAACACATGAAGTCGCCATAAGTTGGGATTGACTTGATGGCAGTGGGTTTGGATTTCTGGTCTTCTAACACTGTTTGAAAGTTGTAAATACAAGTCGTTAAGTTCTCTTAAGTGGAAACTTTTATTTGCCAGTAGAAATAGGGCTGGCATTCTCCCAGGCCATTGGGGTGTGGCTCTTCCAGAAAAGTCACTCTCCTCCCATCTCCTCTCCACCATCTTCCCAACTGGAGGTCGCTTCCATGAGAATTTGGCCCCGATTTAATAGCTTGCTTTCCCCTCCGCCTAAATTCCTGCCATTAGCCAGGGTGACTCCAACATCCATATCCTGACCTTTCCTACACCTTGGCTTCCAAGTTGCTAAAATATTTTGCTTTGCTTAAGACCTTTATCTCCATCCTATTTCAGTAAATCACAAACACATTCATACTCTGAACCTTGTAGTTCTCTGGAATTGCCTTGCCTCTGAAATTTTTACTCCTGCAATGCTGCTCTCTCTGACCTCAACCATTTAACGCTCTCTCTCTCTTCACTCTCTGATATCTTCACTCTCACTAAAATTCAGAGATCTGCAGGCTCTCTGCTCTGTTGGATAGTCCTACTTTCTACTCTACTTATTATCAGCCTTTTAACCTCCACCTCCTCCCCAAACATTCCACTGAATCCCCTCCTCTGCTAAACCTCCTCTGGATCTGTAGACCTTGCTGCAAACCAGGCACGTGGTAAGCGCTGAATGCTGAATGAGCCCAGCCATCCATGCTGCTCTCAGGCTGCCAAAAGCTGCTGGAGAAAACCTCACAACCACACTGACTGGGCTGGGTGCATGTTCATGATCTCCAGCCTCAGCAGGGTCCTCAGAACTGTTCAGCAATCCACTCAGTCATCCCTCACTGGCGCTCGCCTCCACTCCCTACAGCAGCTGTCCCCAGTTTCTATCGGTGCTCAGTGACTCACCCACTCCACAGTCACCCCCTTTTACTCATAACCCATGATCTGGTCCTACTAGAGGAGGAATCCTAGACACCTCAGGCATGAGCACAGCCCATCATCCTCTGGTGCACTGCTGCATTGTTTTATCCGCCCCTCCCGACCCCCTGACCCTCTTTTAGAGAAAACAGTCCAGCAAGGTGGTTAAGAACACAGAGCGTGGAGCCAGGCAGGAAGTATGTATTTGCATGCCAGCTCTGCCTCTCATCAGCTGTGTGATGTTCAGCAATTAGCAATTTTCTTACTCTTGCTGTACTTCAGATAAAAGTTGTACCCACCTCATGATTTATTTTGAGGATGAAATGCGCCAGTATTGGTAAAGCGCTTAGCACAGCATCTGGTCCCTATGTGAGTGTTCTTGTTGTTGCTGGGTGCCACCATGTCAATTCCAACTCACAGTGACCCCACGTGACAGAGTAGAACTGCCCCATAGGGTTTTCTTGGCTGTAATCTTTAAAAAAGCAGATTGCCAGGTCTTTCTTCCAGGGAGCTGTTGCGTGGGTTCGAACTGCCAACCTTTCGGTTTGCAGCTGAGTACTTAACCTTTGTGCTATCAGGGCTCCTTATATGAGTGTTAGCTGTTATTATTTACCATTGTACTCTGTACTCTATACTTGATCCCACCATCTACCCCTGCCTCCTCCAGGATCCCCCTCATTCTCTGAACCCTTTTCTGTCCTTGATCTTTAGTCTCCATTTGCTCCCTCTTTCCTCTCTAAAAATCTGTTCCAGGCTCCTTGATCCTTAAAAATGATCCTGACTGAAAAGCCCCTCTGTCTCCCCTCAAGTTATCAATTCCTCTCTCCTTTACATCACCAACTGGAAAGATAAATCTCCCCTCATTAGCTCCACTTTTCTCACTTCCTGTATAATTAACTCTGCTCCACCACTTAAGGATGATCATCTCCTAGCTGCCCAAATCAAAGGCTCATTTCAACTCCTTCCCCTTAAACCTATCTTCAAGCATTTGACTTTGCTGACCACCATTTCTTTCTTGAAAATGGTTATTCCTGTGTTTACTATTGGATAACTTTCTTCTATTTCTCCAACCTCTATGACATGTCTCCATTCCTCTATCTTCAATTACTACCTTTTCCAATAACTTCCAGATTTATGCTCATTACCCACACTCAGCACATCGGCTCACTCTATTAATTATCTTGTGTAGTGGCACCTCCCTTGATCTAGTCTTCCAGATCAGGAATACTGGATTTCTCTCAGGCTCCCAAGTGTCTTTCACTCCCTATTGCTAATCTGTTTCCAAGTTTTATTAATAATATCTGCCAACTGTGTCATTAGTCTGTCGTTCCTCTTTACTCCCATAGTCCTAGGTCCTAGAGTATCTCATCATCCCTCTTCTTGGCTATCTTAAACCCTCTTAAATAGCCATCCTGCCTCTAAGCACCTCCTTCTCTAAACCATCCTCACATAACTACATACCTCAGGGATCGTTCTAAAGCAAACAGCCGTACAGGGCTCTCCCTGACTCTTGCGTTTTCCTGCCTTGATCACGCCATCCCTCTCTTTAGAGTGCCTTTCTCTTCTTTTCCATTTATCAAACTTCCATTCTCCACTCACTATCTGATATGAAAGTTCTTTTGTGATGTCTCTCCTGATAGGCACTCTCAGGCAGAGGTAATTTCTTTCTCTACCATACCCTTGTAGCTATCTCTATTGTAGTATTTATTTTGTTGAGCCAAAACCACACCAAACCTGTTGCCATCGAGTT